TTCTACATGATTTTTTACAATTAAAACTAAGATTTAAAATTCTGATTAACATATACTAGTTGTGTACCCGCGCAATGCGGCGGTAGGAGCCGTGAATTTTAACGATTTTGAAATTTCACTGGTTTTATTAGAGAAGATTTAATGATGATATAAGTCACTTGGTTTTTACATATTAATACAATTTGAATAAATAAGAGTTATGGTTCCAATTACACTCTATCGATGAAAAAAATTGTATGACAGTTTAAAATTCAATATATTCAAAATCCAACATATTTAAATGACTTTACAAATATATTCGATTTACACCGAGGCAAAGAATCAAGAAATCAAGAACGAGAAGGAGAGTTCTAAAACAATTGAATGAGAGATGAATGAGAAAACTTTTAATAACTCATGGTGAATATTATTTTGAATCTCACATTGGGGGATGGGGAGAAGACATAGATGTATGAGAGGGTGAAGACATGAGTGAAAGATGTTTAAAGTATATTGGAAACATGAAAAGAGAAGGTAATAATATGCATCGGTAACTTGTACTATATGTTATTGTAATTGTAGATTAAGAGATTTTAAAACTGAATGCATAAAGTAGTACTTAATGCATTATGAGTTATTTTTAAAACTTTTAAGATTTTGTGTATAAATATATAGTACTTTATGCATTAAAAATTGTTTTTAAGACTTTTGATAAATCTAGTTTATAAAGTAGTATAGATTTGTTTGACATGTTTTGCTTATTTTTTATTAAAAATATTTTTTATTTAAAAAAATATGATTCTAACTATTTTGTTAATCAAATTTGTTCTCCAAAAAATTGTAAAATAAAGTTTTGGTTTTGTGTATTGTTCCAACATATTCTCTACTTTTTTTGTAAAATAAAGAAAAGAAATTTAGAAAAAACTTTAAATATAGAGAATTCTGTAAAGTCCTCACCAATAGGATTTATTTATTAGTTTTTATATGAAGTTTTTTTTTTTTTTTCCCTAAAAGATGATAAATCATACAATGTTTTAACAATAGTTGATGTTGAACTTTTTTAGAATAATTAATCTACTGGATTTAAATTCAATTTTCATAAATACTTTGATTTTAGTTCCAAATTTCAGATAAAGAATAAAGAATCTATGTATGCTTATGCTCTAACAATTTAAATAAGGGATAGAGAATATACACTCTTAGAAATTTGAATAATTATAATATTTCACCTTTATGTCTTCTCTCTCTTATTTTTTGTTTTTGTTTTTAATCAATAGATAATAATAATAATTATTATTATTATTATTATTACTCTATAGTTATTATAATTTTTATTTGTATTATATATATGAATCAAATTTAAAACTAAAAATACAATATACCTTTTGTTATTTATAAAAAATAATATATTATTTATTTTGTAATTTTATAAACTTTAACCATATGCATATAGTCGATGGCTTATAAGTATAAAAATCGAATAAAAACTTTAAAATTCATATACTAATTTTTAATTTTCATTTTGTGTATATTGTCATATAATATATATACAAAAAATATTTATCCTCTTTTTCTGATTTTAAAACTTAAACAATAACCAATCAATTCTTATTTAAGTTTTTGAATATTCAGATAATAATTTTTTCAGTTTTTTATCGATCTTTAGAAATTGAGGTAACAATTTATTGCTTTTTATTAAAAACTTTAAATTTAAATTAGTTT